TGAGACTAAAATTACAGAACCCAAGTGAAAGCTTTGTAATATGTGAGGTTATATACCAAGGAAGGGGTTATAATCATCAACATTATCATTATCATCTTTATGGCTGGCTGTTATAAGGTAAAACTAACAAAAGTTTGAATGTCTCAGGTCAAAGTCCAACCAAGTAAACAGAAACCACTCTGCGTATTGGGAACGGGAGGAAATCCATATGGGGAATGAGTTACACAGGTGATGGAAGGGCTGAAAGCTCCATTAGGAAACAAGGAGGCATCCCGGAAATTAATTATGGCAGGAAGCCACCACTGCTTCTTAGCTGGAAGAGCAGAGAAGAAGGCATAGGGTCATAGGAAGCCAAGTCCTGAGTTCACCCTACAACCCTGGTGGGATCCAGAGCCAAGGATGAAATGCAACCCCTGAAGGCAGAGGGGAGGAGAAATACCCTGATTATGGTCTTTCAATAATGCTCCATTGTTCCCCAGTGGCTGGACCAAGCCAGAAACCAGCTGACATGAGAGTGACGAATGGACCTGGAGCCAACATGCCCTGGGCCAAAGAAGTCTTCTAGTTATTGAGAAACGCACTGATAGGCTAGAAATGAGAGTAGCAAAGCAAAGAGAATCACAGTCACAAGGACTTAGACCCCAAAAGATCATGGGACTTCATCCGGTCCAAGCCCTCATCTACAGAAAAGGCCCCAAAGAAGCAAATGGTGTGACTTGCCCAAGAGTATGACAGACAGCGTGGAGCAGTCTGGAACCCCAACACCTGAATTCACAGCTCCTTCCACAACATGAACTTCACAATGATGAACAGCAGGGGCACTTGGGCTCAACAAAGGGTTGTGTTCCAATAGCCGATTTCCAAGACAGTTGTGCAGACCAGGGAACTCATTTTCCCATAGAAACAAGGTTATTGTGGCTGATTATGTTCCCAGACTGGCTATTGAATATCTATTTAGCCTACAACATGAGGAAGTAAAGGAACCTTCCTACTCTGAATTAATGAGAAATCGAAAAGCTGATCGTATCTTTCTTCCAGGGCAGAACAGAAGAGAGCCCTCTCCCTCATCTCCTCCATGTGGCACACCGGCTAAAGTTTCTCCTTGCTCTGCCATTAAGGCGATGTGGTGAGGGGGAGGAGAGGAGCTCCTTGCCTTCTGTCTGGTGACAAAAACCTCCTTCACCACCTGGTCCCTTTCCAGGACAGGGTGCTTCAACACCCCGTGCAACAACCAGACCAGAAGAAGCTTCTGGAAGACTGAAAGCGCATCGTTTTTCTATTTTGCGCCTTACAGCTTTGCGCACATGGTGCTCACCCAATCGTACGATTCTCGCCCACAACTGAGTCTTCCCCAGCGGGGTCTGAATTAACATCTTTGGGGTGGGTGTTGGGGATGAGTATAGTCATTATAAAGTAATTTTCTGTTTAGAAAATGAAAAAAAAAATAACTCCTTTTGTTTTCATGCTAGAAGTTAAAGACAAATGGGCACAAAGAGGCACGGCTGGCGAGGGTGCTGGGGAAGCCGGAGAGATGAGCGTGTTCTCTTCCAGGACGTGAGGACTCCATTCTCAGGGGCCACAGTGAGTTCACTGCCCTGTGGTTGGGCAGAGATTTTCTCAAATGGTTGTCAGGTTGCCCGCACTTGATCTTCTGGTTTTTACACGCGCCACCTGCAGCTGGGGAGCTCCACTTCCAGGAAGCAACCACCCAAAAGAGAGAAACTACCCATCTGGCCAAAAATTAGAACAAGGGCAGAATTCCTGGGAACTGAAGATGAAATGAAACGTGGCAGCCAACCGGAGAAATGGAAACTGAAATCCATTTTCTGCTCAGCTGGCTGACACGCAGCGCTACATTTCCTCAAACCCTGACACCACCTCCCAGCTGAAGAGGACAGGAAATCAGAGTCTGTGCAGCTTTGCCAGCATTCACATGCCAGAGCCCTTCACGGTGAAGCTTCCTCACTGTGCAGAGGAGGAAGAATTGTTCCCCATCCTTCACCCCATGCCCTTGCTCCTTGTTCCCATCTCACTAGGTCAGGGCTGCCATATATGGTCACACACGCAGTGCACTGCACAACTCAAAAGGGGCCATTGTCCATCCGTTGCAGCGTGAACGGCGTCCCCAGGAGTTGTGCAAGGCTTCTATGAGAACACAGCTTGCCAGTTACCTTGTATTGAGGCTGAAACCTATAAAACCATGAGCAGGTAGCTGAGTTCCAGTCACTTCTATGTCCCTGGCACCTAACAGTGCCTGGTACAGAGTAGAACCTCAATATAAACCCCCAGGGATTTAAGAAGCAATGAATTTCAGGGGCACCTGGGTGGCTCAGGGGGTGAAGCATCTGACTCTTGGTTTCGGCTCAGGTCATGATCTCACGGGTCACGAGTTCGAGCCCCTCAGGGGGCTCTGCGCTGACAGTGCAGGGCCTGCTTGGGATTCTCTCTCCCCCGCCCCTCTCTCTCTGCCCTTCTCCTGATGGCTCTCTTGCTCTCTCAAAATAAATAAATAATCTTAGAAAAATTTTTAAGTAATGAATTTGAGAAGAGTTAGTATCACTCTTAGACAAAAAAAATAAGTAATTATTTGAAATGGGAGCAAAATCCTTACTAGAGTATTGATATTCCTTGAACCAACCTTAGATACTTTAAGAATAAATATGATGCAGTGACTAAGGTCTCTGGCCCTGGGATCAGAAGGATCTGGGTTTGAATTGCAACTCCATAACTTACTAAGTAAGCTATGTCAGGGACATTCCGAAACCTCCTCAGCCTTAATTTCCTCATCTGTAAGACTCAACTGAGATAATGCCGGAGCATAGTGTCAGATAATACATAGTAATGGTCAATACAGCATTTTTTTTTAAGTAGGCTTCGCGCCCAAGGTGGAGCCCAACACGGGGCTTGAGCTCACGACTCTGAGATAAAGACCCTGAGATCAAGACCTGAGCTGAGATCATGAGTCAGAGGATTGACTTACTGAGCCACCCAGGTGCCCAACGGTCAGGCCAATATATCTTAGTTGCAATGAATAAGTATGTTACTAAAGGCGATGAAGTGATACAACAATAATCCCCAAAGGCTAATTTTAGCTACCAATATTTTTAACCCACAAGAAGAAATATGTGCACGATATAGTAGGTGCTAAATTAATGCTTATTGAATGCGGGTGGGGGAAGGGGGAGAATGCGTGGGTGGGGAAAGCGTACCGAACTGAGAATCAGAAGAGATACAGACTCAAACCTGCCGTCACTAGCTTTGTAACTTTGAGTAAGTTTCTCAGTCTCAATGCTCCTTTTTAATAAGGGCATGGGAGGCTGTCTCGGGTCCTTTCCTCAGGATTCCCTCCCACAGAGAGGAGGGCCCCTGCCCCTGCTTATTTCTGCAGTGTTCCCTCACTACCGGCAGGTGGTGCTGCTGAGTTAAGAAGGAAACCCGTTTTTCTGCAGCCTGGTTCCCAGCTGCCAAGTTTCTGTATTAACAGCAGACTGGGAATTAGGGAAATCACTAACTTGTTGCTGAAAATGCCTGAGGCAGTAAAAGAGTCATTCCATTTCCTTTCTTGCACTTGGCTTCTCCGGGTGCCATGAAAGCACCATGGGTGTGGGGAGGCAGCTGGCCCTGGATTCCAAGTCCAGTTCCATAACATCCGGCCGGTGACCTTGAGCTAAGGCATTTGCCATCTTGGGGCCCCCTTTGTAGTCTGCAAAATGAGGATAATAATACACCGCCTCTGGAATGTTGGGGAAATTAATTAAAAGCGCTCGTCAATTAAGGAGCACTGTGTCTGGCACATAGTAGATATTCCAAAAAAAATGTTAGTTCCTTTACGTTGCCCTGCTTTCATTCACTGGGACCACGGTCAGTGCTGGACCAGAAATGAACAGAGTGTGGTGATAGAGCAACGAGGAGGCAGCTTTCCTAAGGGAAAGGACCTTTCCTAAGGTCCTCTGCTGGACCAGAGGACATGCCATCTGAGACGGGATGGCTGAGGGGAAAGGGGTCCCAAGCAAAAGAACCAGCAAGCGCAAAGGACTAGCCCTCTCATCCAGCTTTTCCTCAAGCCCCCCTCCCCCGTCCCTTACAAACTGACCCACAACCCAGTGGCTCTGTCCTCAGAGCCCCAAGGCGCACTCTAGGACAGCAGTCATTTGCCCCTTCGTATATTTTATGTACCCAGTCACATCTCTTTGAGGACCAGGATTGTGTTTTCCTGACCTCTGTCTCCCCGGAGCCTGGCACAGCAAATGCCTTAATGAACAAATGACGCAATGGAAGTGCCACCTTGGTGTTCACACCAAGTGTCTTACTGGCTCTGTTTGGGTGCGTGCATCCTGACCTTTAGCTGACACCCGTCTGCCTATCTCGTGCTTGGTACATGGTGGATGCTCAAAAATGCTTCCTTTGTTGAATTTGAATTGCATTTTCACTTACTGAGCAACTGCTGTGTGCAAGGCACCAGAATGAGCACTGGAGACAGAAAGATGTATGGAGGGCCATCCAGGGCCAGGGGGCTCCTTCTAGAAAACTAACAGTATAGGGGCCCATACTGTGTTCCTACCTCATGAACTAAGTGCTGGAATATGCTTAGTGGAATATGCTCTTCCACTGATGCCTCGCGAAACCCTGCGAGGTTGGGGCTATGATTGTACCATTTCACCGATGGGGAAACTAAAGTTCTGGCAGGGAGACGTGCACAAGGTGACAGAGCCCAACTGAAAGCCAGGTGTCTGGCGCTAAAGCCCAAGCCAGTCACCACTTTGTCATGTGTATATCATTTAGATGTGTGTTCAGTTTGGGAGAGCCAAGGCATGGGAGAGGGTTGAACAAGAGTTGCCAGAGGACAGTGGGTGTGAACTAGACCTTGAAGGACGGGAGAGGAGTTTTCCAGTTAGGATCACAGTGGCAGTGGGGAAGGCGCAGGAGAGAGGAAGAAGGAACGTTCTAGACAGAGTGGGGAGATGTAACAGCCTAAGGAAAAGATGGCGATGGTTGGGTACCTGACTGGGAATCACGGGCCGTTCCTCCTCTCAGGAGAGTCGAGAGCTGGGTCTAGAGCAGGCCACCTGGCAAAAAGGAACACAGGACTGGAGACTCTGAAAAAACATTTTCTTTTTTTTTTTTTTTAATTTTTTTTAATGTTTTTATTTCTAGGAGAAAGAGAGAGACAGCGTGAGCAGGGGAGGGTCAGAGAGAGAGGGAGTCACAGACTGAAAACAGGCTCCAGGCACTGAGCTGGCAGTCAGCACAGAGCCCGACTCGGGGCTCGAACCCACGAACCGCGAGGTCATGACCTAAGCGAAAGTCGGACGCTTAACCGACTAAGCCACCCAGGCGCCCCTGAAAAAACATTTTCTAGAGATACATTTAACAAATGGGAAATTTTACCCTTCTTTAGTAGCTGACCTGTGTGGCTTGCCGGCCTCTAGGCTGGGCGGTCAACATACAAAGGCCCCAGACACTTATTCGACACGCACTGAACACCTGCTACGTGCCAGGCACGGACCACTGAACGCCCCTTCTGCATCACTAATGTCGAACTGTGAGGGCACTGGAATAATGGAGGTTAGAACCTCTCTGGGTTTGAATCTCAACTCCAGGACTCCTGTGGAACCGCGCACAAGTTATTTCTCCCCTCTGTGCCTCAGTTTCCTCACCTGTTAAATGGGAATGCTGATAACAGCTATAATGTAAGACCATTGCATTAAATGAGTTAACTCGTGGGAAGGGTGGAGGACACAGCCCAGCAGGTAGTAAGCACTCAGGAAAAGTTGGCTACTACACGTGTGGGCTTCTACTGAACGTATGCTCCTTATGTGATGCCGATAAGCACCAGGCACTGGGCTAGACGCAGAAGGTTTAGCGATGAGTAAGACCAGGCCCTTTTCTCTTCAGTGGGGCAGGGTCTAGAAAGAGTGAGGTTTTGAAAAGAAGTGATTATAGCAGAGGGAACTAAGTGCTCCCCCCTCCCCGAGCTTTAGGGAGACACACTAGGTTCTAAGTTCTGCTTAAGGAACAAAGATCCCTCAGCAAGAGATGCAGCTGGTGTCTGGGTTCACACCAGAAGCCATGACATTTTAAGGGTCTGTGATTTAAAGGGTGTTGAGAAAGGGAAGGAGGTCCAGGCAGGGGAGAGGGCACATCATGCAAGGTCTAAGCTGGAAACGGTGTGGTCATTTAGGCAGAACAGTGAAAAGCTGTCGTGCCAGAAGCAGAGGGCAGGTGTGAGAGCTGTGGACGGAAAGAGGCCTTGAATGCCGGGCTAAGGCTTCAGACTTGTTCCTAGAAAAGCCGGAATCACCGAAGTTTCTGATCAGGGCAATACTGAGCAAAAGGGAGCAGTCCCTCCTCCACTCCTCTGTATCTCCGCCCCCCCCCCACCGCCCCGACCCCAGGAATCTGGGCCAAGGCAAGATTCTCAGGCTTCTAATTAACGCACCCCACCAAGGAGCCTGAGCAGCCTCCATATGGTGCGTAAATAATTTACAGTGACGGAGCGTGTTTATGTGGGATGGCAGCCAGCCGCCTCGCTCCTTCAGCCTCAGTGCTTCCTCTCGCTCGGCTGGCCAGGAGGACCCACAGCCAGGAGTCAGAGGCCCAGGAGCACCCAAAGCCTTCCTCCGGCGTGGCCCGCCCCTCGGAAGGCAGACATTTCACAGGCCAGGAAGGCTGCGGAGCCCCTCGGCCCGGCTCCTAGGGACATCGCGTGCAAGTCCAACCCACAAAGACCTCACAGGCCCTTGTCTGTTCTCAGCACACATCTCGGAAACAAGTCACAAAGGTCTGACGTGGCCGAGGGGATGGGGCGGGGTGGCCGAGGCATGGGGAGCCCGGATGCTGCCTTAGGCTGCAGAGGCTCAAGGCCTAGCTCGGTCGCCGACGGTCTGGGCGAGGATGGTCACTACGTCCGATTTCCCTGCCCTTGAGCCTGCTCCCAGAGGACCCAAAAGCCTATGTACCATGGCGGAAATTAAACCAGTCTGCCAAATGCAGGAATCACAAATGTGATGTCGATTTAGAAGAAAAAATATATATACTTTGGTCTCCCTCCCTGTGCCTGGCTCGGATCTCCTTAAAACCTTAGAATTTCCTAAACAGAAAGGAATCGAGGTGCCTTTTGTTATGTTAAATGAGGTAACTTCTGGAAAGGCCGTAGGTCACCTAAGGCTGAGGAAACCTCAAGGTTGGAAACTTCAGCTCCACCCTCTGACCCCAGAGAGGGAGGCGCGGAGGTGGGGCCTGGGGCTGAGTTCTGCGGCCAATGGCCAGTGAGCAAATCAGTCATGCCTCCTTGAAAACCCCAAGAAGAGGGGTTTAGGAGAGCGGAGCCAGAGCACCTGACACATTGCTGGCCCCCAAACTCCATGGGGACAGAATTTCCTGCATTTGGGACCTCGCCCTACGGATTGCCCTTCATCTGACTGTTAATTCATCTCCTTCAATATCCTTTGTAATAAACCAGCAATCCAGTGAATAATCTGGGTGTCTGAGCTGTGTGTGAGCTGCTCTGGCAAATTCACTGAACCCACAGAGGGGATTCTGGGAACCTCTGAAAAAGAGCCAGTCGGTCGGAAGGACAGGTGACAACCTGCCCTTGTTCCCGGCATCTGAACTCGGGACCGTCTTGTGGGACTGAGCCCTTAGTCTGCGGGGTCTGAGGCAACCTCGAACAGCAGCAGCGAGGGTCAGAATTTAGATTACAGGGCACCCGGGTGTTGGCAGAGGATTGATCGATGGTGTTGGAAAAAACACACATCTAAACAGGTGGCAGAATCATAGTGATGAAGCCAAAACAATGTCCGATGTAAAATCACCCCGGAACCCACACCGAAGGCACATTCAGCTACGCTGTGGCACCGAGTTTCAGCAGATGCACCTTTGTACCTAAACCAAGTTGGCAAGACATTGTGAATTCAAGTGGGCGTGGAAGCTGCTTCAGGATAGCAAGTAGCAAGAGGTTGTTTGCTTAGATCTCAGCAGAGGAGGAAATGGTTAAATTGGATAAGGACTCCTACCAGATAGGATTAGCAAGAAAGCTTCCAGAGTTTACCTAGGTAGCCTTGGATTGTATTAAGCTCTTGCTGCAACTCTGAATTATCTTGTTAAATATACTAACTTGTAATATTGAGCAACAGAAAAACTTGGCAGAGGCTTCATGTTAACACACAGACATGCACACACACACACACACACACACACACACACCAGTTCTCATTATTCATGGTAATGAAGTTCCACAAAGTTACCTTGAACGCTGAATTAGTGATTGCTGTATCATTGCTCACCGGGGAAATGAAAGGGTAGGTTCTGGGGGGCCTCTGCCCACAACATTTTCATCAACCCATCATCAATACATAACCTTGTTTCATGCGTGTTTCTGTTTAAAGGCACCTTATTGAATATACATATTGTTGATTCACTAGCACTGAAGTCAGGGCCAACTCTAACACACCTGCTTTCTCCAGAAGGCACATCACAGCCTCTGTGCTTAGGGAGGGGGCCATTTTCAACAGCAAAATCACACAAAACAAAACAAAACAAATGCCAAGCTGCTCAAAGCATGGGACTCATAAGCTACAAAAGGACCCTTGCTTATAGGACACGGGCTGAAGCAAGATGCCTGAGCATCGCCCAGCGTGGTCGAATTTTGTCACCGCCCTGCACATGTCCTTGAAGGGCTACTAGGGCGATGAGTATCGATTTGGGGGTTACAAGCAAATATTAGCCCAGTAGGCAAATTTACAAATACAGAATCCACAAATAATGAGGTTGAACTGTGTGCCTGTGCGTGTGTACGTGTGTATGTATTGCATGTACGTCTAATACTGTGCGTGTGCATATGTGTGTGTCTATGTGACTGTGGGCCCCAGGGATGCTGGCAGCTGCAGCTCCGACCCCTGCCCCCCACCCACGCCCTCCGGAGAGATGAGGAGCAGCTGCAGGGAGGTTTGGCAAGCTCCTGGACGGCAGAGCTGGGCCATCACTCTCTCTGCACGGCACTACTACTGCCTCGGTGAGTGCTGAGCCAAAGTTTTCTCTGTAGACTATTCCAAACAGCCTGCACTGCCCTCTGCCCGGAGGTCATCCCCTAACGTGACCTCCTGGTTAGTGACGACTTAGCCCCAGAGGCTCACCCAGCAGCCTCCTCCCTGAAGCCTTACCTGGCTTCCTCACAGGTAGCCCCCACTCCCGCCTCCGCGCCACCCCTGCGCATCCCCGTGTTAGAATTCCTTGCACTGTCTGCTTCCTTGCCTAGACTGCTGGACCCAAAAGGCAGAAACCCTGTCTTGTCCATTTTTATATTCCCAGCTCCCGGCACAGCTTTCCACGACCAGGGGCTGTTGGTTTTCTTGAATCACTGACAGCAGAAATAGCAGGGCCAGTCAAGGCCAGCCAGCCCCAGGACACTCAGGGTGGGGTCCGTGGCAGCAGAAGCAGCCTCACCCAAGAGCTTGTTAGAGATGCAGATTCCCCAGCACCCCACCCCCCGCCAGATGTACAGGGTCAGAATTCCTGGGAAGGGGGCCTGGCAAGGTGTAATGTAACAGGTTTTCCAGAATATTCTTAGGCCTACTAAATTTTAGAAGCTCTCAATCTGTTCTACTCCCCCATCTCCTTTGGAGACTGGTGAAGGGACCTATTTCCCCAAAGTCACACATTTGGGGGCGCCTGGGCGGCTCAGATGGTCGAGAGACCGATTGGGTTCATGATCTCGCCGTTCGCGGGTTCGAGCCCCATATCGGGCTCGCTGCTGTCAGCACAGAGCCCGCTTGGATCCTCTGTCCCCCTCTCTCTGCCCCTCCCTTGCTCGCGCAGCTCTCTCACTCAAAAATAAATAAACATTAAAAAAAAAAAAAAGCCCTACATTTGGCTAAGGGCATCCCACTGCGAAGAAATCAATGCAACCGCTCCCTGAAAGCTGCCCTTCTCGGTGCTTCTCCAGACGAGAACGGCTCTCATTTTGGTTCTCATTCATGGGCTTCTCTGCTCTGCTCTTCTCCTGTTCCCTCTTCCTCCTCCTTCTTCTTCTTTCCCTCTCTTTCCCTGTCTCTCGCTCCCACTTCCCCAGCCCTCCCTTTCCTCTCTCATCTTGGAGCAATAGCTTAACACTCTCTGGACACCTATTCGCCCTGCTTGTCGAATGGAAATATCCCTGCCTCTTCTCTGGCCCGCTGGGGTCAATGAAAAGGACACATTGTTACCTCCAAGGGGATGCTTGCATGATGGGTGGAGAAAAGGACTGGGAAATTAAAGCGGTCAGCTCCAAGGGCAGGAATGACCTTGAAGCTCTTCCTCCATCAAATCACCTTCCCTGTCCCCCGTCCCCCCCCACCCCGCCACAGCTGGCCACCCCTCCTTCCGCTGTGACAACGGGGCTTGTTTTCCTCTGAGTGGGCTCTGGGTTATACATACAGGCAACTAGGTGAACGTTCTGGAAGGCCCGTTAGGGTTTCTCAGAATGAGTCATTTTTTCAAAAATAACAAAACCTCCCGGCATCACTTGATTTCAGCATTCTCGCCAGGCTCTGTAACCTCTTTTGCAATTGCATTCCAAGCACGCCTGACTTCTTTCTCAGGCCTGCTGGCAAGGCCCCCTCCCTGCAGGACTTTGCTGATAGACAAAGAAACCAGGCCCAGGATGTGCAGGCCCCGGTACAGAACACATTTAGATTGCAGAGGACAGGCGGGGGGGGGGGGGGGGGGGGGGGGGGGGGGGGGGTCGTCTGGAGGCTGTCGAGGGCAGTGGGCAAGGGGCATGAGGTCAGAGGGGCTGCCCTGGCTTCTGACCCACAACTACTCACTGGAATTTGACAAACCACCGTGCTACAGTGCCTTCATCATCCTAATTGGGACCGGCCAAGAATCCCAAGAGAGATAACTACCACTTTTTTAAAACATGTCACCATTGTACAGAGCACACTTCACTTCCATCACCTCCTGCGCAAATGAGGACAGTCAATGCTCCCGGAGCCTTGGAGACCTTGACCGTCTTGCCCCAGGTCTCGCCATTGATGATAGTCTCTGCTTATCAGGCCAGGCACTGAACCAGTGGTATCTCAAGGTTATACCCTTTGAGAATGGGTATAACCCATGAATGCCCACAGGTGGGGTATTATTCTACCCCTTTTCTAGATGGAGAAACTGAGGCTCGGAAAGGTTAACTAACTTGCCCAAGATCACACAGAGAGGGGCAGAGCTAGAACCGGAACCCAAGCATGCATGGCTTCAAACGCCACGTCTTCCAGTGCATCACATGCAAACACTGCCCTCAAAGCCCCGGGCACCTTCTTCCATTGGCACTTAGCGTCATGGGTGTCAGGGGACACCTGAGGTATCTTTTGTCCTCTGAGCTCTTTAGATCAAGGGGAGTGGTGCGTTTCATACCCTAGCCCATTGCTGTCGTTGCCGTACCCACGGGATCCTTGTTGGGTAAAGGCAGGGGTGAGCCCCACCTCTGGCCCTCGGACTGCAAACCCGACGTGTCTCCTGAACACACGGCCACTCCCATTCCAGAGGCATCAAAGCTTGTGGTACCCGAGGAACCCCAGATCTAAACTTGACTCCTGTACCTCTGGGCTGCGGTGAAGACACCTTGCCCCTCTGGACTCCCGCTTTCTCATTTGGACAAATATGTTGCTGGACAGGAGATACTCAAAGGGCCCCTGGACTCTTGCAGATGACGCTTCTGAAAGTAGATTGAGTTTTACTCAAGAGCACAGGACCTAGCATGTTCATTGATGGAATTTTTTTTTTTTGCAAAATAAATAAATAAATAAATAAATACAGGGTGGAGCAAAAGTCCACAGAGCTTGTAACATTGGCCCCGTGGTATTCTTCACACTTACTGTGTCTCTGTCAGATCCCGGCAGAAAGGAGAAGTGGCAGCTCAGAAGCCTCATTGCTTAGTGACTAAAATCCTGTGCGAGTGGAACATGTACGTGTGCCCCCAGTATCGCTCTTGGGCTTTGCTTCCGCTTGGAGACTCATGCTAGATGTCACTTCTGCCACCCACCCCCTGCCTGTCACCTCCATCGCCCATCGCCGGGCCGAGCTGGGCCGATGACCCTTCCCCGCGCTTACCTCGGGGCACACATCCCTTTGGCATTGAAACTGCCTGCTTATTTACCTATCTCCCAGGAGACTGTGCGACCGCGTCTGTTTATCTGCTTCCTACTACCCTCCGCGCCGGTGGCTCTTTGTATCTCCAGCACTTATCCGGAGTGCCGCCCAGAGGCGCCACTCCAGAAATGTTCGATGATTGCACAACTTCACCTCTCTCTCCGGCAGGGTCTCCTGCTCTTCTCAGGGCACATCCGCAAGCTTCCTCCGCGTGACAAACTCGACCACTGGCAGTGTCTCTCTCCTTATGCCCATTTGAAAGATGAAGAGGTGAAGACCCACGTGGCCAGGAGGCAGTAGAGCCCACACTCAACTCATAAGATCACAGACAATGGGGTTGGCGGAGGCCTCGAAGGCCACTTGAAACGGAATTTTTCTTTTTTTATAGTTTATTGTCAAGTTGGTTTCCATACAACACCAAGTGCTCATCCCCACAAGTGCCTCCGCCTGTTTTTAGCAAAGGGATCTTTGTTTTTCCTTCGTTCGTTCTCCGGCGAAATCTTACTCCAAATCATGCTGTGAGAGGGACCTGCCCTTGATAAAGGAAAAGTAGAAAATCTGAATGCCCTTGAGCTCAGCTCCTCAACCCATCCTCAAGAGGAGAGGGGTTACAGCACCGTTGGAGGACCACTGACTCAAGCGAACATTCTAGAACAGTTACATCCATGTTCCAGTCCCCAGCCCCTCCCCTCCCTGAGGCTGCCTCCCTCATTCAAAAGCTCCCCCTTGGTCACGTCTGTGTCAAGCACTGGGCTAGATGTTGCCCGCTGTCGGGGATGCCTAACGTGCTTGGCCTTGAATCCACAGACCCACTTCGGGCCCCGGTCACACCATTTCCTGGCCGGGAACCTTGAGGAAGTCACTTGATCTGTCTCTCCGCCTTGGCTGCTCCATCTGCAAAATGGCCCCGTGGCTTGCAGCTCGCACTGAATCAGAGTCCATTGCCTCACGAATGTGAACGTTCCGTGCACGGTGGGGGCGCCTGCACAGCCTTTCCAGGGTGCTGATGTCACCTGCTGCCTCAAGCCCCTCCGCGGCCCAGTGCAGAAATCACTGGAAGGGCCTGAGGTCCCTTTTGAGGGGATGTCCCCTTTTGATGTCAATACTTGTGCATTGAAATTTACAGCCACTTGCCTCGTCTCACAAGGGCGCTGGGTTTCTGTTCGTGACCCCCCCCCCCCCGCCGCCTTCTGCTAAAGACATCGATTTCGGGACGCAAAGGGGATTGGTTGACCTCATCTCAAATTTCAAGAAAGCTGGGCTGCGGGTGGGAAACAGAGGTGGCCGGCGCGGCCTGGGCGCACCGGCATGTCCAGGGCTCAGGACACAGTGACAGCGCAGGGGGGAGGGGAAGGAGGAGCCCAGGGGAAGTGGGGGAGGGGGCGTGGGCCGAGAGGGGCCCACCCCTCCCCCACCCCTCCCCCACCCCGTGCCCCTCCTGTCCTCCCCGCCTCTGGCCGCCCCCCCCGCCCCCCCCCCGGAGGGAGGACAGGTGATTCCATCAGGAAGCGCTGTGTGTTGGGAGCCTCCCAGATGGCCCGCAGGCCTCGAAGGGAGAACGGAGACCCGGCTGTCGCAGGCCGAGGCCTCCAGCAGCCGCTTTTCCTCCTCTGGCCCCGCTGTCTTCGGTCTGATCTGCAGGCTGGCAGCGGCTGCTTGGGGAGGTGCTTCCGGTTCCCACTTCCGAGGCGTCTATTGCTATGAACAATAATAATAATAATCCTCTAACGTGGGCAGTGTCCACCCGGTCCTCTCGCTGCAGTGCTTCGCGGTGCTTTAAATCTCGTGTCTCAGGGAAGACGAAGGTTAGGCAGAGGCCGTTAGCCCTCCTCTGCAGCTGAGGAAACTGAGGCCCACGGTGGCTGGGGTTCACAGAGGGCCTAGGAAGGACGCTGGACGGGGACCTGGGCGTTTTCAGTCTGACTCCAGCCCTCCTTCTAAAGCCCTTTCCTTCTAGAAACATCCGGTAGCTCGAGCCCTGTAAGGGGAGGGGGGGTTGGAGAGCAGGGACACAATGCCCTTTGCCTCGCAGACTCCGCTGGTCAGCCAAAGGGCAGGCGGGAGGCCGCATTGCATGACGACATTGCCCAGGGCCCCAGGACAGGGAGGCCCAGCCAGCAGCACCCTGGTGAAGTCTTGGACGGGCCCCCTGGACCGTGGCCAGCACACTCAGGTCCCGTCTTCCCTCTGTGGTCGGGTCAAAGAAGGCAGGTTCCCTCGGGGCATCCATTGCCTTTCCCTTTCTCTGGGTCCTGGAGCCCTCAGACCGAGGCCAAGTTCAGAGGTCTTGGGACGAGAGGGGAGGGCCCCTGGTGCGGAGTCAGAGGCCGGGGTGTAGCACATCCAGCTTGTTCAAACTGCACACACCCACCTTCAGGTGCGCCACGGCTTCAGAGGGAGCCGGGCAGTGTATTTTGGGCAAGCTATGCCGCTAACTCGTGGCTGCTTCACCACAGAACCCAGAACCAAGGACGGGACTTCGTTTTGCAAAGAGGGACGCAGAGTCTGAGACACGGGAAGTGCTAGGCAGGCGTGTCAGTGCGTGTATCAGAGGAAACCGAGGCTCTATGATGCTGTGGCCCAGGACCAGAGGCTCTTGTTGCTGAGCCTCGGTCCCCATACGAGGATCATGCCACTTTGAAGGCCCTTCTAGCTGACAATCTGCTTCTATGACGTCTAAGTCCTGCCTGGGTCCCCAAGAGCCGAGCAGAGTCTCAGATGAGGAGGTGGTCCCTCCGAAAGTACATTGCTTCAGAGTCCTTCTCAAACTTTTTAAAGTTTATTTATTTATTTTGAGAAACAGAGAGAGAGAGCAAGCAGGGGAAGGGCAGAGAGAGGGAGAGAGAGAGAGAATCCTAAGCAGGCTCCATGCTGTCAGCACAGAGCCCAACGTGGGGCTCGATCTCATGAACTGTGAGATCATACCTTAGCCGAAATCAAGAGTTGGGCACTTTACCAACCGAGCCCCGCAGGCGCCCCCCCCCCCCGGAGTCCTTTTTTAATGGAACAAAGACCAACTTTCCCGGCCCCACCCCCAAAGCCTTAAGACTCCTCATTATCAAGACAGGCACAGGAGACAGAGGAATAGAAAAGACGATGAGGGAAGACAGGACAAGAGCAAATGAGGTATGTCCCAGGGCCCCCGCCTGCCCTCCCTCGAGCTGATTCCATCACTGGGGTTTCCAAAGAAGCAGAACGCACCTCCCACTCCAGGAGCATCACCACAGCTAAGCCCATCTTTGAGGTCCATCCACCTGCAAAAAGTGATTGGCCCAAGGGTAGGCACTGGCCCAATGAGAGGGAATTTCAGGATATTTGCTGATGACAGAGGAGAAAAATCATTTTCCGTCTCCTTCTGGATACAAAGGAAGAAATGCAAAACCGAGTGCTGGAAACCATTGTGCAACCAACAAGAGAACCAGCTTCAAGTGAAACTGACATCACAGGAGGCAGAGTGAAGAAACAGAGAAAAATTAAGTCTTCAGAGGCATCTTTGAGCTGCTGGATCAAGCACTGCCTGAAGCACACAATCCAGACTTTTTATTTCCATAAGCCAGTAAATTCTCTTTGTTATACAGGTCAGCTTGAACTAGGTTTTGTGACGTTCAGCCAAATGCCTACACCAGACACACCACTGCCTCTTTGTCTCAGGCCGGCTCATTGTACCATGGGAAGGCACCTGACTAAAGGGCAGCCAGTCTATCGCTGGAAAGGGGCCTACAAGTAACTGTGTTGCCTGTGTCCCCCCACAATCTGCATGTTGAAATCCTCACCCCCAGTGTGATGGCACTTAGATAGCCTTTGCTTCCTTGCCGTCTCTGCCATGTTGAGAAAATGGCTATGAAGCAGAAGGTGCCTTACCAGACATCAAATCTACTGGACCTTGATCTTAGACTTCCCGGCCTCCAACCTGTGAGATGCTTGCTGTCGTAGCCGTGCAGCCTGGGGTATATTTGTTACAGCAGCCCGAACTGACTGAGACATCTGGCGTGAGTGCTTTGTCCCTAGAGATGAAGGTGAGCAGAAGATCCATCAGACCCTCTGGGCAGGGGGAGTTTATGCTCATCAGATCCTCTGAGCACACATCCCCTCCCCCCTCCCCCGCCCAGCCCTCCCTGGCAGTTAAGTGGGGCCACACAGGCCATACTGCTGATCAATGGATTATGAAGATAGAATCAAGAACACTGAGAACAAGTGTGCCTCCTTTGTCCCTCTCTTCTCCTGCCATGAGAGAGTTCAGAGGCCACATGTTGCATGGCATGCTTGTGTAACTGTAAAGCCACCAGGATTTCAGGGTCTGTCTGTTATCACAAGAGCCTAATCAGCCCTAACCAGTACATACTCAAGAATTTGAACTGAAGGGTTAAGAAACAAAACAGATGAACATATGGGAAGTGGGGGGAGAGGAGAGAGGGAAACAAACCCCAAGAGACTCTTAATGTCAGAGAACAAATTGAGGATTGATGGAGGGAGGTGGGCGGGAGATGGGTGATGGGTACTAAGGAGAGCACTTGGGATGAGCACTGGGTGTTGTATGTAAGTGGTGAATCACTGAACTCTACTCTTGAAGGCAATATTGCCGTGTATGTTAACTAAAATTTAAATTAAAAAAAAAAAAGAATTTGAACTGAAGATACACATAGAGACTGGAACACGAAAGGGTTTTGTGTTAATGTTAAAGCTCTAAGGAAGGAACCAATGAGTTTTGCTTCTGTGCAGAAAAGGAGATAATATAGTTACGAGAGAAGTAGATTCGGTTCTGAGCAATGTTATTTGTC